TATTGTAGAATAATGGTTGTTACAGCAGCTATAATGTCTGGAGGACTAGCACCATTCAAGGCATTTGCATGTAATAACCCATTTGATCCCCACAGTAATGTGTGAGAATGGATACTATTATTATCACCACTCTATGGGTGAGAAAAAAGAGGCACACAGAGTTTCAGTAAATTGGCCAAGGTCACACATAGAATGACAGCGCTGGGATTCATTTTTATGCAGCCTGATACTGCATTTAGCAGAATTGTATTTAAGTATTGGATTAACTCGTATTTATTTGGATAAAATGGATTGTGGAAATTTCCTATATCTCCCAAGCTGACTGAAGAAACTCACGTGGCAACTGTTAATCCATTGTGGATGACTGACCCATTTTAGCTCATACTTTTCATTTTTTGCTCTACAATTGTTTAAAAGCAAAAGTTTTCCTGGTTTTAAAATTAAAACTCTACTTACACTATTCAAATATACACTCCAATTACTGAGGTTAAAGAGAAGCCCGAGATACTTCGAAAGAAATTATAATTTTAAAAGGGGTTCCTTTACTTTTTGTTATCTTCTCTATTTAGGAAAAAAAGAAAAGTACCACCAAAAGAATTATTTTGTTTTAATCTTTAGAGCTAAAGGGTCAGAAGAGGATTTAATGAAATAAAACCAAACATTTAATGAGTTGATCTCAGTATAGATCAACATTTTATATTAATTCTTATTTATGAGGAGGCATTTAGGAAGACTAGTCAGAGATAACTTATTTTGAAATGTAAACCTATTGTCTTTATTTTAAAAGCTCTGAGGCCCTTTCTCTGATGTACATAACCTATAAATTCACATACATCTCTGCTGATGGTATATTAAAAGCACGAGCAACGTTGTAAAGCTTGTCACTTCCTGTTGCATTCTTTTTTCCCACATTTAATGCATAGACACCACACTTTGTTGTCAATAAATAATTCCACTTTAATGGCAAAGTAATAATTTAGACAGATACAGGGTGCACGTTTGCAAAAAAATATATGCAAGCTGGTTTACAAGCTAGAGGAACAATAAACTAATAGAAAATACATCATCCAGTCCAGTCCATCGACACCAAGTACTTATCGTTGGGGCTTTACAAAGACTACAAAAACTTTTCTGATGATTTATTTCACTGTTTCTATTTACATGATATGTTACATCAAAAATGTACAAAATATAAAATGTATACAGACAAATGTTTCACAAACTAGTTTAAGTTGTAAACTAGGTGGACCTACTGGGGTGTATTCCAGGACACGTCGGTTTATGCTCATGTTTGGACTGTGTTTCTCAAAATGGCAGGAAAAGATTAGCGATTTTCTTAGATCACACATCATACAAGGGCAACTAGTCACTCACCCAGCTACATATAGTGATGTTTCACAACGGATTGGACCCATGTTTGAGGCTTCAAAGTCAGGGTGTACAATTCTATGTGCATAAATCCTGCTAGGATTTCCCTTAGGGCAATAGCACCGTGGAAGGACCTATATACTCAGTGACACTCTGAAAACTGCACAGATGTCTTGTGGCGGTGGTGTTGTTCTTTCTAGAGCAACTGACCCATGAGTGGTCACAGAGAGTAGCACCAATTACACGTCCTAAAAGTAACACATTTTCACATGCATAGAACAAGTCTACACCGTGGCCTAGCCCTTGGGTTTTATAAACTTAAAACCTGTCCTCTGTGTGTGGTGGTAACTTCTCCAATGACTCTGATCAGTTTTCATGCGCGCTCTTTAAAGCCTGCCAGGACAGATGTACTCTCAGACAGTTTTACTTATCCAAAAATATATTGGCTTCATGTACAGTTTTGAAGCATGCTCACTCTAGCACTGATAGCTCCTGCATAGTCATAACAACTGTAAATACAGGACAAACACCAGATAATAACAGTTTTGAAGGTTTGCATTCTGTATTTGTTTGTAACGTACAGGAAATCTCAGCAAGTGAAACACCTCTTAACACCAACAGGATAAAGTACAATTTCATTTGTGTTTGTTTGGACTTGTGCAAGTTTTAAAAATTATTATTTACAATACCTACCCAGTAGACTGTGCAAATCTAACCTTCTTTTACAGTATAAACGCTTCCTCTTCCACAGTGATTTTACTGCTTCAGTGTTCTTTAATGCTGAATTTCCCATGTACAACAATAGCTATCAAAACAACATGCGTCAAAACTAATTAAAAAAAAAAACAAAAGAATAGGGGAGGGAAGCCAAATAGTTGTGCTCATGCTAAATCCAGTACCTCCAGCCCTGCTCTGCTGGATAAGAACTCAAAATCTCCCACCTTCTGAATCTCCTTCACTTTGAACAGGATAAAATTTCACCACATGTCTCAGCTTTTAAGTGACCATCAAAGAGGGTTTCTGGGTTACTTGAACATTTTGGAGGATGAGGCAAAGCAATCTATTCACAAGGTAGAAATGCTGATCTTTCTCCTATCCATTTCTTAAAGAAAAAGAGAGAGAGAGAAAGATATACAGAAATGAGGCTACTATTTCAACTGGCGTTGCTTGATTGTAAATGAAAAGACAGTGGGAATTACCAATGGTTTAGGATTTAAACCAACTGATAAACTGTTGTAGAAATCAGTTTTAAGGCAGTGAGACAGCACCATAGGAAATGTTCCCTCTTTCACTGAAAAGGCTCAAACACATAAAGCCCTAAAAAAAGCCTTTCTTCAGTGTTGACTAATAATTGGTATAAAACTCTTGTTAAGGGCGTGGACAGGTGGTTTAAAAAGACCACTGTGATAAAAACAACCTTATAAAACCTGTGACTCATGGACTAGAAGTGGGTAGAGACATCATGAGAGCACGGCGGTTAGAACTGAATGGGCACTTGTCCAGTTTGCCACAGTAGCGCTTCTCTGGTGGTTGCACAATTCCATTTGTGCTTATGGAGGACTGGCCTCTGGGATTCGTCCTGGAATGGGGTGAGCACGCAACACAGACACTACTGGAGCCCTGTGACCAGCACCATGCGGCACAAAGGAGGTCGGACAAGTTAAAAGAGTGGACCCTGCCTGGGGAGAACAAACAGCTCCTCAGAGCAAACAGAAAGGAAGGGACCAAAGGAGAAAAAGAAAGAAAGAAAGAAAGATCCGCATTGTAAACTTTTAAAGAGGAATAAAAAGAAATTCCAGTTGGGCTATTTCATGTGCAATCTATTCAGTTGCCCTGTCTAGGGTCCTTTCCAGTTGAGTAACGGAGCTTTCTATCACTCCATGGATATAAAAACGCTTAGAAATAAAATAAAGTTAAGCTTCCATCTCAATTTAGCATCTTGGCAGTTCAGTCTTGATTCTGCTGCCTCCTTGGAGACCATGACTCTGGGTCAGGGCCCTTGACAGGGTGCTTTTATACTGGCAGTGGTTTAGTGAAAATACCTTAATTTTCAAACATATTTTTTTTAAGCATAGTCTTTCCAACTAACTCTTTTCACCCTTTACAGGGTCGATTCAAGAGATGAATCCACAAGGTCTTCACGGTGGCTGGTGCTGTCACTCTCACAGCTCTGTGTGCCCGAGTAATTGGCTGCTTCTTGGAGTTTCATCAGCATATTCATCTGAAGAAAGAAAACAGAGACGGTGATATAAGCGAGGATGCATTGAGTAAGCAAGTCCTATCCAGACAAGGACCTGAGCCGAACTAAAGAACCATCTCATCCCATCCTAGAGAAATGGGAAAGTGATTTCAGATGATCACCGTTGCCTCTGGCTCCTACAACCATGTCCTCCAAATATGACTACAACACCAAACCGTAAGGACAAATCAGGGCTAGGAGATAACTCTTTTATCGGGGGTTGTGAATGAATACTGCTGCAGCAGGGACACCGGAGAGGAAACTGTATCACAGCTGGACTTCTGGGTTCACTGCTGGAAGAGCAGGCCAAGCTTCCCAGCTTTTTGACTGGGGGAAGCAGAGAGCACTGAACGGCAACTGAAAGTCGTGTGCATTCACACACACAGAGGCGCAGGCGCACACATGCGTCCCCCGAGGGATCGGGGGGATGGAGAGGAATGAAGCCAGCAGCTGCGGCCGCACACAAACATACCATCTGCTGTGTGGGGGCCAACCTCGAGAGGAGGTGACTGGAAGAAGTGGACCAGGAGCATTTGAAGAGGGAGAAGGAAAGAGTCCCTGTCACATTTTGTTGTTGAATTTCTGGCTAAAATATGATTGATACATCACTGAAAACCAAAACCGTGTTCTGGAACAGTAGTGGCTGTCTCGAGTTTTCTAGGCGTAAAGGAGAATGGCAATGTTTGTTTTAAGAAAGGGACATATGGGTGAAAGCACCTGGGGACGAAGGCAGCTAGAATTTCCATCTATTATAAAATAAAAAGCAGCAAACTGCCTGGATCTTGATGGATCTGGAGCTCCACCGTTAGAGAATGAAGTTAAAACACAATCATTTAAAAGCAAATTGTGGATGAACAGTTTAAGGATCTTAGAAAGCACAGAAAGATTGATTCATTATCTCATGGAGATAGTGGGCTTGTTTCTTTTCATCAACATTTCCTGTAAGTTGTAATAATTTTTACATCAGCTAATGCATATTGATTTTATTATCATATAAAGTAGTCAAGGTTGATCTTCTATTTTCCAATTTAGAATAATAGCATGGAGAAATCTAAAATGGGGTTCCTGGGTCACATGATGTACTATGCGTGTCTGTGAGCTCCGTGTTAGACGTGTGTTCAGTCCACGCTTGTGAAATAAATGATAACCTGGAAATCATCAACTTCAGCAAGGATGTCTTTCTGACAGGCTAGTTATAGAATACTTCGAAGTCATTGTAGTGGTCTTCAGGACAATACTTTAACCTAATTTCCAGTCTAACTCTCACAACGTATTCAATCAGGTACATTAGGCTATAACATAAAAGTAGATGGTAATAACCGTTCAAACCCAGGAAGCCCAAAAGCCAAATGGCTCCATCAACACTCTCTCTGTTTCTGTCTCTCTCTCTCCCTCTCACACCCCCACACCCTCCTACCTCACATATAATCGTAGTCCTTCTCTCCTTTATCAATCCATCCCCCATAAGTAGCTGGCTACATGTTCAATTATTGGTTGAAGCTTATTTATTTAAAAAAAAAAAAACACTTTTTTTGAGTGCCCACCCAATTTACAAAGAGTAGAAATGTTTAACAATGTCTGTTTAAAATGATATGATTATATCTCAGTCACAAATGTTTGGAAACACTTGAATGCTGAATATTGTAAAACTTTTATTGCATAATATTAATATTAAAGTCTTAAGTTTTGAAGTGGTGACATGTAGTATAATAAATACATTTCATTAGAATAAGTTCCAATTACTTTCCTCTGCCTTCACAGAGTATTACCTTATGAACGCAAATGAAATGAAATCACAGAGGGAGGGAAGGTTAGGTACCATTCAATGATTCGATCGTCATTGTGACAGATTATCACCCCCTACTAAAGTATTTCTCTCTTCTCTTCTTCCCTATTTCTTCCTCATACCCTTTGCTATGGCTTGGATGTGGTTCATCCTTGCCAAAATTCATACTGAAATTTAATCTTCATTGTGGCAGTGTTGGGTGATGGGGGCTAGTGGGAGGTGTTTGAGACGTGGGGGTAGATCCTTCCTGAGTAGAGGAATGCCCTCCCCAGGGGGTGAGTGATTTCTCACTCTGGAAGGAATGGATTAGTTCCCTCACCAGAGCAGACTGATAAAGAGAATCTGGCTTCCTCTCTTGCCATCTGATCTCTTTGCACACTCCCACTCCCCATCTGTTTTCCACGATGAGTTGAAGCAGCATGAGGTCTCCACCTGATCCAGCTGCACAATCCTAGACCTTCCAATGACCAGAATTAGAAGCCAAATGAACCTCTTTTCTTTATAAGGTATCCAGTCTCAGGCACCCTGTTATAGAAATGCTCTATGGACTAAGACACCTATAGTCACAATGTCTGTCTTTTTTAAACTCTTGGTCCGTTCCTTACCCTTTCCGGTACTTACAGATCTGCTATTCTCCCAGCTTACATCCTCTCTCTTTCAATCTGTCCTCTACTCTGTTATGAAAGAGATCTTTAGAAATTACAAATCTAACTAGGTAAGCCACAGCTCAAAAAAATCTGGTGGCTTTCCAACCTCGAGGTGTCTAAGTTTTAACTTCCTGCAAAGATAAACAATGGTTGGCATGATCTAGCTTGCATACTTCTGTAGCTTTAATTCCTCTCACTAATTTGTATATAACTCTATAAACTCATCATTTTTATTATGCTGTTCCATAACATTTGATATGTTGTTTCCTTAATTTTACATATTCTCCCTCCAACTGTATGATAAGCTCCTATCCAGCCTTCAAGACCCATCTCGAGCTTCTTCCCTGGGAAACTTCCTATACCCACTTCCTCAGTATTCACCACTTGACTAGCACGCATCTCTACCATGAAGAGTGTGTCTGGGTAGATGTATCTCTCTATATTGGACTGTGGCTTCCACGAGATCAGAAATGATATCTTACTACCTTCTGATCACCAGTTTTTGGCACTAAGACCACACATTATTAACATTCAGATCATTATAAATGATGAATACACACCACATTTTAAAAACAATGTGACATATATCTAAAACATACATCCTTGTTCAGATTCAAACCCAGATTTTTGACATAAGATTGTGGATTTTCCTGCTAGAATTTCTGATTTATATTGGACTGCAGATACTTTGCCTTATATCAATAATTATAGAAATACATAGACATAAAAGCAGATAGAGAATACTTATTTTTTATGAGAATATGCCCGATGAAAATATTTATTTTTCAATGATATCTGCCATTGAGCATGCAAGATATCACAGCTGCTTGTTTCTGAAGTTGTTCAGCAGAGCAGAACTTTCCAGCCTAATTCCCATGTCAGAATGGGAAATCTTGGAGCTCATTGCCATGAATGAAAAGAGCATTCAGACTAAGGAAAAGGGTTCTTAATGCAGTTGACCAACTGGGACTGTGGGAATTGGGAGAGTAGTACACTCATAGACTAACACTGAAAAGAAACTCCACAAACATCTCTCCTTATCTGAGACAGACACAATGTACCACAATTGCAATGGTAGTACTGGAATCTAAGAAAAATTTGGATTAAATAATCCATATTTGTATTCTAAACCTTGTAATTATTCTATTAAATTTTAACCATTCTATCAACAATTATTTACTGTATATACTTTCAATTATGCTGAATTTAAACCAATTTCACCATCATGATTGTTTACTAATCATGTTTAGTTTAAAGCAGGGGTCCTCAAACTTTTTAAACAGGGGGCCAGTTCACTGTCCCTCAGACTGTTGGAGGGCCAGACTGTGGGCCCAGGGACGAGTCAGCTGCTAAGCAGGACAGGCAGTGGTGGCAAAAACACCCAGCAGGCTTAGGATAAATGTCCTAGGTGGGCCACATGTGGCCCGCAGGCCATAGTTTGAGGACGCCATTTATACTATGTTATAAAAATATGCCTACCTTTAAAGAATCTATAATCTAGATCAGAAATCTTATACAGCAAATCTCTGGACTCTGCATGGGTGTATGTGTCTACTTCTGTGACTTTATGGAACTCTTAAAATAGTGTGGGAAATTTCCTCTGTCTCTGCATTTTCCTGGGGAGAGGATATTGAAAGTTTATCAGATTTCCCACATGTCACTCTTCAGATGTTAAGAATGATCAGCTGAGATGATGATGTGTATATTTTAAGATGGTTAAGAGCATTCCATAAAATATCAAGTCATTCTATGCCTGTGGGTATGGTCATAGCTTATGATTTTCAATCATTTTCTCTTTGAGTACATTAGCTTGAAGTGATGATATATCTTTTATTTTGTTATCATTTTTCTGTATTGGTTATACAAGTCCAATAATCTCTTCAGTCCTAAAATGATGTGCTAACAAACACACTGCATTTGAGTCCAATATATGGAAAGTAATCTACAAAAATAAAAACTAAATAAATTAAAATAGTTTTTTCCTAATAACATCATGTACTTAATATTTTCAAAATATTTACACTTTGGAATTTTATAGACATTTATTCACATTATTCTAGTATTTTGAAAAATAAAGCATAACTTCCCTTTAACTTCCAAGTCAGTAAATCTTTCTCTACTGTAAGCAACAGAAGACTAAGTTCACATTTAGTCAGGCTAGTGCTAGTTGATCTATATAAATATTCTTTAACTCTCCAAGTATATATTACGTTGTACTCTTTTTGTTTTTCCATTTAAGAACAAAGTGCAATATCCAATTAAATACCCTACTAATCATGATATGTAAAATTCCTATTTATTTACACAATTTAATGCATTAAATAAGGGAAACATTATGGTCAAGCATTCAGCCTGGTATAAGCATTTCTCAACTATTGTTAAGCACACAAGGTGGGCTTTCATTTTAAGAACTTCACCTAACAAAAGCCAGCCAAAGACAGTAGCTTAAAACTGTGCCAAATAATGCCTAGGATAACTAATGTCTTTGACACAAGTGATTGAATACTAAGGACCGCACACTACATAAAGCTTATAGGGGAAGAATCGAACATCAGTTTCTTACCAGGGGATCGCCTTCTGTGTCAGTCTGTGGAATGTGCTTTGAGGTTGTGGCTTCCTTAGTGGATGTGCAACCCTCATACCCAACATCTTCTGGTCGCAACTGCAGTAATGCTGGGCTCTCCTGAGGCAGAGAAGTTGAGTTCCATGGGTAGGTGTCAAGCACCCACTTTGAGGGATCTTCCCATGGTGTGCGTTTCCCATACATCTAAATGTTGATCACAAATTTAGCACATTAATAGACATTTGTATTCAGTAAAGGTGGTAAAAACTAATTATATATTAAGTGGTATTAAAGGTATATAAAAGTGTATATATCTTTTTGTATATTAAGTTCTTATGGGACTTTTGAAGAGAATTCAATAGGTGTATATTATTTACCAGGCTTTAAACATATATCTGTTTAAATAGATCACTTTAAACTTAAATGCTAGACAAATGAAACTGAACTTCTGAGATCAGCCTTTGAGGGAGAATATAAGGATGGTTTGTTATAAATATATGGTGAAATGACTGCCCATATTTATATTAATTAGTGTTTACAAACCAAGAGAAAACTCAATATTAAAAAATAAAAGTTCCAAATATGAAGTACTGAAAAAAAATCATGCTTGACACTAAACAGACCACTGTACTAAAATGACTTTGGAAAATGATGAAGAAAAGAAAAAAAGACTTGTTTATCTCTGTCTACTTCACTGTACTCAAAATTCCTTTGAAAGTAAGCATGCGTTCTCTGATAACCATTTTCCTTTTACCAACTTCCTCTTATAATCACATTGTTTCCTGTAAAAACTCTTTGCAAATGATTACGTATAAAGCCACTAATAAAAGAAGAGGAAAAATAGAAACTGATACACCATCGCAAGAACATGTATAGAGGCAAATTGCCCAGTAAAAAAGAGACAATAAAGCCTAAAGTACTAGAAGTGGATTAGAGATAAGAAGATGCGTCTAAGAAATGTTAAACATTTTTAATCTGGAAGCAAAGCTGAGACTGGAAAGGACGCTCTAAAGATAAAGAGGTTAATGGGACCTTGTAAAAATAGAATGCCAGAGGCAGCAGAGAAAGCAAAGTTAAAACTAAGAGAAGGGGACAGTAACATGGACACACTTTAATGTAATCCCTCTATCTCACCTGCGCTACCAAGAACCATCCTGACCACCAGGTAACCAACTTTGGTTTGTTGGTAGGTGGGGGTTCTGCATGGTTTGTTTTGGTTCAATGAGACAAAATCAAAATGGTGGACACTGACATAATGAAAACTTGATGGATGGCCTTAAAATTTCCTTTTGAGCTTCCTCTAGAGAAGTTATAAGAAGACTTTAGCCCTGTCTAAAGAAAGGGACTCTAGGTACTGATACCTGTGCATTTCCTTAAGAAAAAGTAGAGGTCAGAATAGTAGATATTTTTTTCATTATAGTTTTCTTGTTTTGGAGCAGAAGTTTTCTCTCAGTTAAAAAACTACTTGTAAAAGATGTAAAATTTAGCTTCCTATACAACTTAAACGGATTGAAGGAAAAATGTGTAATTCTTAGAAAGCTTAATTATGTTAAAAGAATCTAAGTGTAGAAACAACTGATGCCAGCCTGTAAACAACAGCAAAATTGGAAGTGAACAATGAAAAGCTAAATGGGTCCAACTCTGTATTTTAGAGTGAGACAGATATTATAGAAAAAGAATTAAAAGAAGAGAAATTTAAATATTCAGAATGAGATGAGTTGATTGCTGACATTTCAAGGAAGAAGATCACTAGAATAAAAATCAAATCCATTGTATCACCAAAATCTTTTCAAACTAGAACATCTGGCAAGAGAGCATTTCTCACGTTGTTTCCTCACCACAGAATCAGCCTTCAGCCTCAAAAGAAATTGTTCTTATTCCTCTAATCTAAGAGTTTTATATTTGCTATAAGGCTTTGTGTCCCCACCTTTCTTCCAATTCAAGGTGTCTTCCTGCCAATAGATCCAAGGAGCTGGTTTGTGAAATATAAGATTCCTTTACTTCCTGCTGCTCCAGAAAGCATCGATGGAGCACCCTGGAAATATTTTCTGTTGACATACTTTTCTGGTCCAGCACAGTCTTTGATGATCATGAGAACTATTGACTAACCTAAGGGTTTTCTTTTGTTCCCCTTCCATGAATCCTCACATCACAGTCGACTCATATTTCACACTGATCTATTACTAAATTTCACAGACTAAAGCAAGGGACTTGAGACACTTTTTATCTCTTTTCAAAAGTATGTTTGAAGTATCTCTTTTAGTTTGAGAAATTGTTATTTCTTAAGTGACTATATTTTTGCCCCAACAGAAGCTCTATATAATTATAATACTCAGAAATGTTTTAAAAACAATATTGATATAATATGAAAGAAAAACGCATATACCTTTTAAAAATGACATCCAAGGAAGCTAAGCATTATCATTTAAATTTTTTAGATAGTTTCCTTTTCTGTTTATATATTGGTGAGAAAATATGAAATAAGGAGAATTTCATAATACTTGGATAAGAGTTTATTATAAAAACTATATCTAGAAAAATTCATATAAATATCAACCTTAAAATGATTAGTTTTAGAATATTGCAAGCAAATATTTATAAAATTATTCTTTTGGTACAAATGTTCAAAATTGAGAGACCAACTTTTATCCTGGTAGCATGATAGTACTAGAAGATCCTGAGATATGTTATAATTGAAAAATAAAAGCCATTCATATTAATATAATCTTTTATTTTTGTTGGAGATAATTTCTAGGCCATATGCTTAAAAACACGAGACTGGGTTATTTAAATCTGGAGTCAATAGGAACATTATTGAGGATCTTAGCTTCATCTCTAAAGACAGAGAGCATCTTCATACTATTCATCATGTTCAGTAAAACTATCATGATTGTTCTAACTACCAGCATTTCATATACTGGATGAGGAGAAGCATCATAGTAAAGGGAGGGAAAGAACAAAAAATAGAGGACCAATTTTTTAGATAATAAAATAAATACAAAAAGCATTGTAGATGGCAGAATGTGCAGAATGTGAACAATATATTCTCATAGCAGTTGTGATAACCAGAAACAGAGATACCTAAGCAAAAACTGCCTGAAACTTTGCTGAGTTATTAAAAAGGAAAAAGGATTCTTCCACAATCATTTGGGTGATTGTGCCACATAAATTATACACAGTTTTCTAATTCCACAATTTCATGAAATTTCAAATCAAATTTAAGGAAATAGGAAGACTAATGGGAAAGAAACACTATATTTTGTTGAGAAAACAAGATTTTCTTATTAGCGGCATAGTTTTATTCTTAAGAATAAAGAGAAGGGATGGAGGAGGAGCCAGATGGTGGACTAGAGACCTCTTCTTACCAGCTACTCATGGGGAGAATGGGAAGAGAAGGCCCTACCCACCTCTGGCTGAGAAAGCTACCCAGGAACATAACTCTGGGGCACAGTGAAGCAGAAGCAGACCCTAGGAGCCAACAAGGAGGTCTGGAGCTGAGGAAGATCAGCATAGAAGTCAAGTTCCTGGGTACAGGCAGAGGCTGACTGGCCGGCTCCTCCCATGCAGGTCTGGGGACATGAAAGGGATACCTACTAGTTTTTTGATTTTGGACTGAGCTGCTCATTAGAGCTGCCTTGCAGGGGATTGAGTGAGTCAGTGAACTTGAAAAGCATCTGGGGCAGGGATTGAATGCTGGGAGGGCTAGAACTTCCCACAGCTTGGCTCTAGGCAGGGTGCTGTCATTGTAGGAAGGCCGTGCAGAAGGAACAGTCCATAGGGTCCTAGTCCACAGCTGGTTTTGGTATGCCTGCTGAGCTTAGGCAACAATCCTTGGGGTGAGCTGAATGACCTCTGTACCTTAAGGAAGGCCACTTTGTTGTCAGCATGCTGTTCCATGCTCCCAGATTCAGGGAACCCACCTTAATTGGTCAGAGCAATATAATATCCTATAATCCCATAATAGCTGGGGACTTTAAGACCCCTGTAGTTGATCTGGAAAGATCATCTAAACAGAAACTAAACAAAGATACAAGGAACATAAATGCAACTTTAGAACAAATAGGCATAATGGACATAGACAGAACACACCATCCCAAAGTTAAGTGATATACGTTCCATCTTCTAGCCAGTCCATGGAACATATTGCAAAATAGATCATATCCGAGGTCAAAAATAAAACCTCAACAAAATTAGATGAATAGAAATTAAACCTGTAGAGTCTCAGATCACAAGGCAATAAAGTTGGAACTCAATTCCAATAAAAATTTTCATCCTCACACAAAGGCATGGAAACTAAACGTCCTTTTGCTGAATGACAGTTGGTTCAGAGAAGAGATAAAGTAGAAAATTATAAAATTCCTTGATAACAATAATAAAGCTATAAGTGTCCAAACCTGTGGGATACAGCAAAAGCAGTCCTAAGAGGGAAATCTATTTCATAAAATGCCCACATCTGAAAATCACCAAGAGAGAACATCAACAACCAAATGAATAATCTTTAGGAAATGGAAAAGAAAGAGAAATCCAATCCCAAACATAGCAGAAGAAAAGAAATAACCAAAATTAAATCAGAAACAAATGAAATTGAAAATAAAAGATTCATTCAGAAAATTAATGACATAAAAAGTTGGTTCTTCAAAAATATAAATAAAATCAATAAACTTTTGTCCAGATTAACTAGAAACAGAAAAAGAAAAACAAAAAAAGGAGAAATAACAACAGATATCAGAGAAATATAAGAAATTATCTCTATTACGAGGAATTCTATGCCTAGAAATTTGACAATGTGGAGGAAATGGATCCTGGAATCACTTCCTCTACCTAGATTTAACCAGAAAGAAATAGATCTCTTGAACAGATAAATATCAAGCACTGAGACTGAAGAAACAATGAAAATCTTCCAACAAAAAAAATCCCTAGTCCAGATGGCTTTACACCAGAATTCTATCAAATCTTCAAAGAAGAGTTTGGATCTACACAGCAGAAACTATTCCAAAATATTGAAAAGGAAGGAATCTCCCCTAACATGTTTTATAAAGCAAACATCACCCTGATTCCAAAACCAGGAAAGGACCCAACTAAAAAGGAGAGCTACAGACCAATTTCACTAATAAATATTGATGCAAAAATACTCAACAATATCTTAGCCAATAGATTATAGCTACACAGTAAAAAATTATACATCATGATCTAATAGGCATCATCTCAGGGATGCAAGGCTGACTTAACATACACAAATACACAAATGTAATTCACCATATTAATAGAAGCAAAAACAAAGACCATCTGATTTTCTCAATAGATGCAGAAAGAGCATTTGTCAAAATTCAGCATCCTTTTCTAACAAAAACACTTAAGAATATTGGCAAAGGTGGCACATTCTTAAACTGAGAACCCATCTACAACAAACCCACAGTTAATATCATTACAAATGGAGTAAAACTGAAATATTTTATACTTAGAACTGGAACCAGACAAAGATGTTCTCTATCACTACTACTATTCGACATAGTTTGGGAAGTTCTAGCTACTGAAATCAGGCAAGAGATGGATATAAAGTGCATCCAAATGGGGGCAGAGGAGGTTCAACTGTTGCTATTTGCCAATGATATGATCATTGAGAACCCCAGAGTCTCAACCATAAGACTTCTGGAAGTGAACAAGGAATAGAGTTATATCTTAGGGTATAAAATTAATGTCCACAAATCTGCACCCTTTATATACGCCAATAATGGCTAAGTTGAGAAACTAATCAAAGACAGTTTCCTTCACAGTAGCTTCAAAGTAAATGAAATACCTGGGAATATACCTAACAAAAGAGGTGAAGGACCCCTACACAGAGAATTATCAAATCCTAAGAAAAAAAATAGCAGAAGATATTAACAAATGGAAGAACATACCATGATCTTTCTTGGGAAGCAACATTATTAAAATATCCATACCACCAAGTGTAATCTATAGATTCAACGCAATCCCCATTAAAATACCAACATCTTAGTTTGAAGACTTGGAAAAAATGGTTCTTCACGTGTATGGAAGACAGAGGCATCCCTTTATCAGACTTAGGTTATATTCCAAGTCCATGGTGATTAAAACAGCATGATATTGGAACAAAAATAGAGACACAGACATATGAAACTGAACAGAAAACAAGAAATAAAACCATCTCTTATAGCCATCTAATCTTTCATAAACTAAGCAAAAGCATACACTGGAATAAAGAACCTTTGTTCAACAAACGGCACTGAGAGAACTGGATTATTACATGTAAAAGACTGAAAATGGACCCATGAATTTCACCACTTACTAATATTGACTCAGGATGCCCAAAAGATTTAAATCTAAGATATGAAATGATAAAAATCCTAGAAAATAGTGCAGGAAAAACTCTTGAGGATATCAGACTGGGAAAAGATTTTATGAAGAAGATTTCAGCAGCAATTGCAACAACAACAAAAATAAACAAATGGGACTTAATTAAACTAAATAGATTGTGTACAGCTAATGATATAACAAGTAAATAGACAACCTTCAGAATGAGAAAAATATTTGCATGCTATGAATCTAACAAAGGCTTGATAGCTGGGATCTGTAGAAAACTCAAATTAATCAACAAAAAAGAGAAAACCATCCATGTATCACTGGGCAAGAGACACGAACAGATCGTTCTCTGAGGAAGACAGATGAATGGCTAACAAACATAACAAACATCATTCCTAATCAGAGAAATGCAAATCAAAACCACCCTGAGATATCATCTAACCCCAGTGAGAATAGCAAACTAATACAGCCTCTTTGGAAGGAAGTATGGAGAATCCTCAAAGAACTCAAATTAATCCTCCTATTTGATCCTGCAATCCCACTACTAGGGATCTACCCAAAAGGAAAAAAAAAACATTCTATTGTAAAGATATTTGCACTAGACTTTATTGCAGCTCAATTTATAATCACCAAAATGTGGAAACAACCTAAATGCCAACCAAGCCAGGAATAGATTAACAAGCCCTGGTATATGTATACCATGGAATACTATTCAGCCATAAAAAATGCGATGACTTTACATCTTTCATATTAACCTAGACAGACATGAAACACTGTTTCCTTCGTAAAGTATCACAAAAGTGGAAAACAAAATATCCAATGTACTCAATACTATTAGGAAACAGTAGACATTCTAATACACGCGCACATAAGAGAAAAATTTCAATTCAAGTAGGGTAGGGGGAGAAAGAGGGAGGAGGAGAAGAGAGGAGGGGAGGGGCTTGTTCTGTTCCCACTTAATGGGGACAATGTAAGGGCATACCTTTTGGGTGTGAGACACAACTACAAGAGGGACTCTACTTAATAAATGCAAATATTGTAACCTAGTTGTTTACACCTTCATATTAACTTGAAATAATAATAACAATAAAAACAGAATAAAGAAAAGGGCTGGCTGCAGGTCTTCATGATTTTAGGTTTGAGAAAGGACCAACAGAGATGCTGCTAAACCAACTCGTCACTGATGAAAAAGACCAACTCACTCAACCACCTGCCTTAGACTTTAGAGCACCCCCTCAAAAATAATAAAGGATCTTGCAAGGACATTAAAGGGTTTCAAACAATGAAACACACTTGCATCTACTTGGAAAAGCTACTTGTTGAAAATTAGGTGATCAGCCCATGTAAACATGGAAGTGTCATAAAATGCAGACCTGAGAAGTGACTGGCTACCTAATAACAGTCCATAAAAACGCATAGCAACAAATGTGGCCTTAGATGAGTAGTTATTAAAATAACTGTGCTACCTCTTTCTCTTCCATATTTGCTCTCAGGAAAGCAAAAATATTGCATATTAAGTAGTTGCTCTTAAAAGCTTTATTAGTCCATATTGTTCATCCCTGCAGCTTTGTGTGTAAATACCCAGAAGTATGATTTTTTTCCTTTTAAAAGAATGATTTGTTTTGTTTTTTAATAAAGAAAATTGAGTCCTATACCTGAAGACCTTCTCTTACTGCCTCCAGAACATAAGGTACCAAAGAATAGTTCCAGAGATCCATGAACCACACTCTAGAACCTTCAACGTCCATGGGGCATGGAAGGAAAAGTCGGGGACCTGAGGAAAAAAACAAGCAACAAGATGTTTTTAAGAAGCATTATTTTAACAATATAGACTCCTGTAAAATTTAGACATCATTTTGGAGGACTTAGTATGCTTCTTGTGAGAGTCCTAGCAAATTATAAGGTTGGCCAATTTGATTATTGTGAAAGTAAGTTTACTGAAGACCCAATCTTCTGTCTTCTCCTTTCTTTTTATAATAAAATATTAACCTTAAAAGCATAATATATTAGAGTTAACAGACCTCATGAAGATCATAATACATTCAACCTAGATTTTACAGCAACAAATCCATGCTGAAATGAATTACCAAACACAAAATATGACATTATTTGTAGAACTGGGACTCAGCATGGGACTCTGATCCCACTGTAGAGCTCTTCTTTCTAATGTACACGGTGTCTATAGTTAAGTATATTATTATAATCCATCACAGTGGTAAAGGGACTTCCATACATGCAATGAAAAAATACAAAATTAGACCTATTTACGCCACTAAAGAGAAATAATTCAGTTTTGTCTTCATGAAAAATATGAAACACCTAAATTATCTATATATAAAGCATATAAACTATCTCTAGAATATTTCACAATTTTATTTCATGTGAGCTATTAGCTAAGTATTTTTATTATAAAAATTAATTTAGGGCAGCGCCTGTGGCTCAAGGGAGTAGGGCGTCGGCCCCATATGCTGGAGGTGGCGGGTTCAAACCCAGCCCTGGCCAAAAAAAACAAAAAAACAAAACAAAAAAAAACACCAAATACCGCAAAAGTAACTTAAACAGATATAATTTATTTCTAATGGCTACCTGATTTTTAGATATTTGTCCATTTTAACTTGTTTGATCTCAGTAATATTCTGACTATAGATATAAAGCTTAGAAGAAAAGAAAAAAAAAGGAAACTTAAATCTTTGAGAGTTTGAAAAAAAAACTTTAATTTTGCTTGTTATTTTCTACCATCCAATCTGGTCCTTTCTACCAAGTACTCCTAGTTCCTGAAAAATGGCATATTGTAATTTTGGAACTCACCAATGGTAACGTCAGAAGAACTGTGTGTTTCCAAAAAACTGTTGAGATGATGCCACGTCTTAGGAATCCAGTCTATAATTTTGACCAGGTCATTATTGCGTACGTTCCTCTCAATTTCCATCTCTATCAGTTTCCTTCGAAGATACCTGCCTAAAAAGCCTTTCACGGGTTCTGTGTGATTTGTGCATAGTACCCACCTACGATAAGAAGAATTCAGGAATTTTTATATAAATTAAAATTTAATGAAGTCTACAGCGTTTTTCCAACATAAAGTAAGAATGTTCCTATTTCGCTTGGTGACCACGTGGTAATGATCAAAGGGACTAGAATACCTATTAACATTAGAACTACAATGTAGCTAACGCTACTTTTTGAGCTAAAAAGAAGCTCCTGTGCGTCAGAAGTGAGTGGGAGTCTGCAAGCTGAACACGCTGCTGCAGGAAAGTGACGAATCCTGAAATAGGAATTCTCCGCACAGTTCTCACACTTAGAAGGAAACTGCTCTACTTTAGCCGGGGACATGGTGAGCAGAAAACATATTTACCTTTCTTTCTTTCTTTCTTTCTTTTTTTTTTTTGTTAAGAAACATTTCTGATTACAGGTTGAGGATCACAAAATGTTTGCTTGAGAAAGAATTTCAGAGACGTGAGAATTTATTTTCACACCTCAGGTCGACCACTGCCAGGATTTGTCAATGTACAAATAGAAGAACTACCACCAAAACCAGACTAAAACAGTGCACACACACACCACACACACACACACTCTCTCTCTCTCTCTCTCTCTTCAACTTCTCTTTACCTGAAATTGTGATGCAGCTCTAGATTTGGTGATGAAGAAACTCCCTGATTCATTGTTCCAATAATATAAGGACTAGAAAATATAAATAGAAAATTTAGATGTATTTGAGATAAAAACAATTCATTAAAATTGTCTTAGAAACTATTCAACGTGGATTATTCCATTCTGACACAAATCTTTAAAGAGGTAATTTCATAATGGTAATTTGGAGAATGACAAAAATCACCGGAAGGGAAATGAATATTTGGGGTTCCAGTTTCAGCTCTGCCACAGAGGTGAGGCATTTTTTCTCTCTGAACTCAAAGAGTAAAGAGTTTAGGTGGTATAATCACAATGTCCCACCCCACGCTAACATCATATAACTCCTAAACTTGTATTAAAATTCATTATTTTTTTCCATTTTCATATTTCATAGTTAAGTATTATTAATAACATGAGAAGATCTGTATTCTTTCAATCCTTATTTTATTCTGATGCATACTTTCTTAGCTCTAGCAAGGATAATTGGAAAATTTGTTACTATTAAAATTAATATAATTTATGTTGATGTTTTTATATGTCCTTTCTTTAGAGGCCATGCTGCACTAAATTCTTAGTGGATTTTCAGATTTTTTAAAACAATATGTTAACCTTTTATATTATTGTAGATAGTTAAAAATCAACTATTAGTAGATTGAGCTATATATAATTGTATTAAATTTATCTATATAGAAATGTTGAATTTAAACTTTGATGTGTACTGAGAATGGAACCAGAGCTCTACAGCCTCCATCTAGTTCCTGATTTTTCTGATTCAAACTATGTCATCTCTGATAACTTTCTCCCACACATTCAGAATATATATATGAAACCCTTATCAAAGAAACAGTGTTTCCATAAAAGTGCCTGAGACATAGTTGTTGAATGAATAAACAGATATTAAGGAATACACATGGATTCTTTGGAAATGTGGTATTATATTAATGAGGGTTTCTCAAATTAGTGGCATCCAGTATAAGTCTAAAAATAATAACTATATGAGGTAGTATATATGTTACTTAGCTAGATTTAATCATTTAGTATATATTTCCTTTAAAACATCAAAACATCATGTTCTGGTACAAAGTACATATGACATTATTTATTAATTTTTTAAAAATAATAGAAATTAAAATGCAAATAAGTTTTGAATATTAAAAAGTAAAATAGGCTCAGTGTCCGTGCTCAGTGGTTAGGGCACAGGTCACATATACCAAGACAGGTGGGTTTGAACACAACCTGGGCCTGCTAAACAACAATGACAACCACAACACAAAAATAGCTGGGCATTGTGGCAGGTGCCTGTACTACCAACTACCATGTTTCCCTGAAAATAAGACCTACCCAAAAAATAAGCCCTAGCAGGATTTCTATGCATATGTTAAATATAAGCCCTACCCTGATAATAAGGCCTAGTGATGGGCGTGGCTATGCAGCATATCTGCACAGCCACACCATGCATTTTGGCGCAGAGAGGAAGACATCCCCTGAAGATAAGCCCTAGTGTGTCTTCTTGAGAAAAAAATAAATATAAGACAGTGTCTTATTTTCAGGGAAACACGGTAGTTGAGAGACTGAGGCAAGAGAATAGCTTAAGTCCAAGAGTTTGGGGTTGCTTTAAGCTGTGATGCCACAGCACTCTACTAAGGGTGACAAAGTGAGACTCTGTTATAAAAATAAATAAATAAATAAAATATATAAAGGCACAAGAAAACAAATTTAACCACCATTTCCCCCATAATTTATTATGCAAAATATTTGATAAACATACCATTTGTTGTATTTACAATTGAGGAAACCATTGAAGACATCACTCAGAGAGCCGACATGATGAAGATTATCAAGAATTATTACAACCGGAAGCTCCACACTGTTATTGTCTGCACTGCACTGCTCCGCCAGATTGGCTAGATACTGCTGCAGCTCCTGATAGAAACAAGGAACGTGAACACATCAACGATACCTTTACACGGATAGCAAGCAATTAGCATCTGAGGAACGGTACACTTTATCTTCCATCCCGTTTCTTTCATTGAAGGCCATTTATCATTCTATTCAGGTAAAATCTTATTCTACAAAGCAGACATCGTGTGATATTAAGAGAATAGCATTTTTAAAGGAAAGGGAGAGCAAGCTGACCAGAGCCAGTGCCAAACACCCACAGCAAACAAACTGAGGCATATTCCTTCCTCAGTGGTTCCCCCTCCCCCAGAGAGAAGCCAAAATGGGTTGTAGACATAAACTCTTGAGATAACACATATTGAGATTTTATCCTTAGCTTTTTGTATTTTAATAATAAAAGTAGATTTTAGAAACCTTAATGTTTCAAGCACAGACTAATGGTGAAATTGCATCTCTTTGTTTCTAATATTTTTAACACGTAATTTCTAACTCTCTTTGATGGGGTGTATCTGAAACTGCAGCCACAAGACTCTGAAAAGTGGGGTTATTTATTTACAACCTGCACGCAACTATTGTGATTTTAAATCAAGACAAAATTTGTTATATTTCACTGAGTCATTAACATTAGCATCAACCACTGAGGTTCTTGGTTCTTTTACAGGTGTTATTCCTGCCTAATAGCTTTTAATATAAATATGATAACCAGTTTGCGGATTGACTGCTCTCACAGATGGGCAGACTGGGAATATAATTAGGTTTCTTAGAATTATCCTAATCAGTCAGAGCATTTCCATAGTATTTGCATATTTACAATGACATTTTCTATTTGTGAATTTTGCTCTGAGTTAAAAACAATTCCATGATCCCAATTTCTGGCAGCAAGGTAAATACGTGAGCTAGTCACCTAGATGCAGCCTTTCTGTGTAACACCACCGTAGAACTAAAATAGGAGACAAAACAATGAACAGGGTTTTAGGCATTTAGTAATATTCAGGTTCAAATATAAAATTTACTAGAAAACTAAAGTACTACTTGTTTTATACTGAGCTAATCACATAAACTAAGTCTCACCTAAATCCGTGAATACAGAAAAATATGTGTAAAAAATGGTGAATATTCTGGAAAATTCCATTTACCTTAAAAGAAAAAAATTAAATTTATATCACTAATCTGGCCATATTAAGTCACTCATTCACTTATAAAATATTCACTTTCTATCTACTATGTTCATAGTCTTAGATTAAGCCCTAAGGCGTATAAAAACAAAAAAGCATTATTAGACTAATGCCTACTATTATGAAATTCAAATAAATTTAACATTTATTATTAACTTCTCCAAGTACTTTCCTGGATATAGGGATGGGATTTGAGATGATTTTGAATAATGAGCAAATTTTCAACCAACAATTGTGCAGTTATTCGTTCTTTCAATACATTTTCATCTAACACTAGGTGCCAGGTGCTCTAGCGTCAATGATTCAGGGATAAAATATAATTTCTATATTCCAGGAATTTAAGAGTTGACAATCAGAGAAACAGGTCAACAAGTGAATTATAGTGTGGTAAATGAAATGCACAGAACACTCTAGGGAGTTTTAAAACAGACATGTAACCCAGCCTCAAGGTTCAGAGAACAACATGGTATAGCAAAGAAAAGCTCTTGAAGTCTAAAGAATAAAAAGGGAAAGTTGGAAAATGTGAGCATATAATGTGTTTCAGGAAAGAAAAGTTCTCTTGTTGCAAGAAGATATGGTACGTGCTAGTGGAGGTGGCACAGACAGATAAAAAAGAAGAGTTTGAGTCCACGCGAGCAAGTTAGCTTTTGTTATAAAAATGAAAACCATCGAGATATTTGTGTGCTTTTTTGTTTTCACTAGGGGAGAATAATTTATTTATTAAAAGAAACAAATGTAGAGAAAATCATGATGAATTAAAAATGGAAAAAGAGCATGTAGGAAGCTTATTATCTTCTTAGAATAGGTTAGGCATACACATATATAACTATAAAATATAGTTGAAAATACATTATTTCAGAAAGTATTGAACAAAGATTTCATTTATGGCATATAAATACTACTTGTTGCTTCTAGAAATGATTTTATGGTGACAGCATTATATATTAGTCCTTTATTAAGATTATAGTATCTTCATGCTTAAAAAATGGGCGAAGAGTTTATTGAACAGAAAAAGAATTATAAGCAAAGTCAGAAATGTAAAATTACACTATCTATATAGAGATGAATTAGGGATGTATGTTTTGTAATAGTATATGGCAATAAATAAATTGTAAAGGAAAATTTCCAAACTTGAGTGATTGGTAAGATCACTGGACCTTTCTTATTAGCAATAAAAAACTGAATGTTCTGAGACTTTGAGTAAAATCGAATTAAGATTTAATATGTGGGGAGCATATGAGAGGGAATGAGAGACACTAGTCAAGAGGATATCAAAATTATTGATGCAAAGAGAAACTACGGGACTGAACAGGGAACACTGTGATATTTTTGACTGAGTGCAGAAACCAGTAAGAAAACACTGAAGGATTTTAAGGTAATGAGATTTTAATTATGAAAGGATATACTATTTTCCATGAGGTGAGTTGATAAATCCAGGAAAAGAGAAAAAGGAAATTTAAGAGAGATGGTGAATCAAGCAGTTAGAAATTAATCACAGAAGTCTAAGAGATGAGGGGTGTTAATTTGGGGTGCAGGGTGGTTGGGGTGAAGATGAGTGGAAGAAGACAGACTTATGATAGTTTTTCAGAGCTGAATAAACATTTCTTTATTGGGTAAATAGAAATATCTGTAAGAAAGTTCACAGATTTGGGAGAGTGGACATGGTGAACAGCATTGGACAGGAGTCAGCTACACCACTTACCACGAGTGGCCGGCACGGGAATTACTCACAAGCACAGTGAGAGAACAGAGGGAGTGTCGGGGGAGTATTTCATTTACTGGTAATGAAAGAAGAGCAGTCAGTAAAAGATACTGAGAAGAAACTTCAGGAGGTAGGGAAGAGACGAGGAGGGAAAGAAAAAATGAGTCAGAAGAATTTCTAGAAAGAGGAGATCAATGCCAGCAATGTGCTGTAGAAAACAGAGAGAGAGAGAGAGAGAGAGAGCGCGCACGCATGCAGATGAACTGAATTTCATAATTAGATCACTGGGTGATTTATGAACAAGCAGCGCCATTAGATTCTAATTGTGCTTCTCTTTCCCAAGAGAGTGCTTAGAAATATGCGTCAGTCAGGTATAGAAATAGACATATACTTTTTTTTTCATATAACTTAGGAATTTTATACAGATTCCCTTGAAACACCCTCATCATCTCCACTCTAGCTTGATGGAGATGAAAACTTAGATTGAGATTATGGAATCTTAGCTTGAGATTGTGTAAATTTATTGTCATGAAAGGTTTATTATTTCCAGATCTAGTGAAGTAGGAAAAAGCAAGAATATATGCCAGGGACACTGACAATGAAATGAGCTTCATACTTTGAAAATACAGACAGAAGACTGTAGTTATATAAAAACAGTTGATCACGTGTCTCTCTGATTCCGACTCTAGACACGTTGAAAATGAAATCTGCCAGGTCCAGTTTTCTGATCTTTTGCCACCTAACATTCCAAGTGGCTTCAGCTGGCCACACATTCTTTACTAAACCATCCCCAGCCTTCTGGGCCTCCTATATCAAATGTCACAAAGTCTAATTGTTTATGTGAACTGCTCTCAATCAAAATGCTCCAGCTGGCAGCTTGAGGGAGGGCTTGAAGTGTGGGAAGAGGAACAGAATGTAAAGTGCAGAGGTACTGAAAACATGAAAGATATTTTTCATTTGATGGGTTTATTTGATCTTTAAAAATTTTTTTAGAATCAGTAGTGCTTTCGGATTTGTGTCATCAGTGCTGTCCATGGCATAGCATGAAACATCAGCGGTCACTGGCCCCGTATTTTCAGGGAAAGGGTTTATTATTTTTTGCCTCATTAGCATTTTACTTTTATAGTAATGCTATACTGATAACAGCTACCCCTGACCCAATAGCAACTTGTCATCTGCTTTTTTTTTTTTTTTTTTTTTTTTTAAGACAGAGTCTCACCCTGTTGCCCTGGGTAGAAGTGCCATGGTGTCACAGCTCACAGCAACCTCAAACTCCTGAGCTCAAGCGAGCCTCAGCCTCCCGAGTAGCTGTGAGTAGCTGGGACTATAGGTGCCTGCCATACCCAGCAATTTTTTTAGTAGAGATAGGGTCTCACTCTTCCTGAGCTTGGTCTTGAACTCTTGAGCTCAGGAGATCCACATGCCTCAGCCTCCAAACGTGCAGGGATTACAGACCTGAGTCACTGCGCCCGGCCACACCTGCTCTTCTTTAATAATCATCTTCACTGACCCTCACTCCCACCTCCCAGGGAAACTGTGGCTTCCTTATCAGTTTGGCAAGAGGCCAAATTCTCTGCCAGTGACTCCGTGCTCAGCACACTGACGACTTCGTATCTTCTGACCACAAAGAATAAACACTTTCTAGTTCTGTTTAGAGCTTTCTTGGGGCGAAAGCCATGTGATGTGTCCACTGGTTTATTCCCATTCCTGGCGTCTAGCATCATTAGTCCTGTTCAATTGCTCTTGGCAATGTTTTTTTATTTTCATTATACTGCAATAACAAAAATGAGACTAAGCTAATAATGACCCAAATGATTTTCTTTTGAAAAAGCAGAAAAGAAGAATGTTGGAAATATTTAATCAACAAAGTTAAAATGGCACTCACATAACATTAAGAACATTTCTAATCATTAAACTTTTATACCCTAAAGTTAAAAAAAAAAGAATACATATAAAAATGGATTCTAGGGGGCGGTGCCTGTGGCTCAAAGGAGTAGGGTGCTGGCCCCAGAGTGGCGGGGTCAAACTCAGACCCCGCCCAAAAACGCAAAAAAAAAAAAAAAAAAAAGAAAGAAAATGGATTCTAGGGAGAGATGTATTTTATAGTTAATGCAAATTACCAACTTTGTTTGTCAAGCTGCATTCTAAGGAAGCTCAATCTTTAAGTCACTTGATTTTAAGTAATGCTCAACTTTATCAAAATGCCTTGGCTTCCTTCAATAAATCTATTTTACATTTGTTTTCTAACTACTTTATTTTTTCCATAAAAGAAGTAACTTATAAAGAGTTTTCTCATTTCAACAGACACAAAGGATGACTAAGAGACTTCAAAGATCTTTCATGCTTTGGGTTGGAAAAAAATTGTTTTAAAATTTTTTTTATATAAATATCTGAGGAGACACAGAATTCACAGGAGGCTTAACCTGCACGGAAAGGAACGAACAGTCGTGTTCAGAGAAGAGTCACATATTCTCCCCCAGAGTCCACGTCTCGCTGTAGTTGAAACAACAGTGGGTGGCTCCACCCTCCTGTGAATGCTGTTGAGTCCCGGGCACATGTTCAGAGTCTATGTGCTGTATTTATTTAACTTTAAGCCAGCCCACTGAACTATATGCACATCACAGTTCTGGTCAGTGTTAAGGAATTAATGAGCTATGCCATAAAGAAATTTTTGTTCATTAAGTTATATGTCTGGTTTATGCCAAGAATCACATGGGTATGTGTTGCCTTAGGAAGTCATGTTTCTTCCTGAGAATTTGAAGACAAAATGTTTCTGAGAGACTAAGTTGATTTAGATCACCCAGCAAGGCCATCTTTTAAAAAAGATTATTTGACCCTGTATCACTGGGATTCCCTCTAGGTATTAGTTATAACAGTTACAGTTTTCCCAAGAGAAACAACTTAGGCTACATTAATTTAGACTTTAATAAATAAATTACTGGTAAAACTGGTTTAGTGTTAGGAGTAAGTTAACCTGCAACGATTTAATGTTTACAATTCTTTGTTTTACTTAGAATTTTAGGAAATACTGATTTTATAGCCTATTTAATAAGTGCGGGTGTTCAGGCTGATAGCTGTGACAATTAGACTTTCCTTAGTGATGAAATACAGAAATCCTATGGAAATGTGACATAAACAAGTTGGGGTTCCCAGAATTTCTTCCTGGACTACTCTAATTATTCCCCAATCCCCCTCACAGCAATGCCCAAGTTCAGACCTGAACCAACCATTGCCCTTTCATCAAGTTCTGATTCCTCCAGGAAATCTGTGCTCTTGCTCCCATAGCACTGTGCACAGACTCCTTCTACTCAAACACTTCCGAAATGGATGTCTAAGAGAAATCAGGCAACAGGGGCTCTATCATTTTATTCTGTATATTCCCAGGCCTGGGGAGCACCTAATAACTGAAGGTTATTTTATTTTATTTTATTTTTTATAACTGAAGGTTATTGACAATGGTAATTTGGTTCAAATTCAGGAAACAGTTTAGTCATCTGCCACGTTACAGTTTTAGTCAAAGAGATGGACATTTTTTCCATGTGCAACATAGAAGTCTTGCACAATCTTAAAACGTGATTGCGTGACGACACTTACGGATAAATAAGAGCTGCTTTCTTTGGGTTCTGTGACTTACCTTACTTGACTTGTGGTCCACATTGAAAGTGGCAATTGCATCCTCTGTGGTTTTCCTCCCAGATTTGGTTATTACATATTCAGCAAGTTTGTTTGCTAAATAGGTCTTTCCAGTACCACTTGGTCCTGAGAGTATAATTCTGTGATGCTCCATCAACAAGTTAAAGTACCTTTGGGTAATTGGCTTAGGAATCAGCGTATCAAAAACAAAACTGTCCAAACTGTTTTCTTCTACCCCTGAAGGAAGAAACAAAGGGAACAGCATGCCTTAGTGTTCTACACAAGCTGGAATTTAACAGAGTTTGATTAGACATAGGAGCAGTCTTTGCAAAACAATCTCCTAGCTATTGAACACGTACTGCCGCTTTAAGAAAGAAAACATATCAGTAATAAGACAGAAAACATATCGGTGTAGAGCCAAACAAAAGCAAGCTGTTTCCTTTTGTTCAGCCTTCCCTCCCCAGTTTACTTCGTGTTCTTCCCTTACGTTTCCAGAAAGAAATGAAAGCATTATAAACTCTATTGTGAAATCTTCCTTGCCTTTGAAGGTCAAGTGTCTGAAGGATAAGCGTGAGGATTATATACATGTGTGTATACGAGAGCCTGCAGGTTCTTCACTTTTCATATTCTTTCCCCCACTCTATTTCCTTCCACCTCTCCTGACACAGCCCACCTACACAATCACTGAAGCTTTTGAAGAATACAAATTGTGATGTTTGGCAAGGAATTAAGAAGGAAGCAACAGTATCCCCTTCTACTAACCCAATTACTTTAATAATAAAATCAAATATTGACAAATTTATCTGTTCACTCACAGTTTATATAGACTTTAACAAAAACAAACAGAATTATGGAGACAAATATACTTCAGATATTACATTAGCCTATAATTAATCCCATCATTGAAAACAAAGCATTTCTTATCCCTGATCCTTAACTATTTTATGTCTAGTGAGTATTTATTGGGTACACATATTTGAAAACCAAAGACATAATAACTAACATACTACTTAAGAATACATAACTTCCTTTAATCCTCCTGCAATGCAAGAAATTTAAAATTTCCAAAACTACATTTATTGTGTGAGTCTTGGTGAATCTTCAAAATTGCCTTCCAAGTTTCACATCTCAGAACTCAAGGGATTTAATTTCCTCAGATCTTCATGGTCCTAGTAGAGTTGTAATATTTTAAAAATCAACATAGCTTATTTCATTCCTAAACTATCAAAGAGGTTAACATGGTTTTCAAATAGTAAAATTGAAGGGAAACTGCAAAAAAAAAGGGGGGGGGAGAGAAGGTAAAAAAAAATTGCAATTATGCTTTTATTTCATCTTTATTTTTACCTTTCAAGTTCACAGTGATGACGTTATTCTCTCCAACGAGGTATCCACAAGGCAGCAGTTCAGGCACTTCTAGGTTATGGGATCTAATCAAGTCTCCTATACAGTAGCTAGCAATGCAGTCCGAGCTCAGACCAAGGCTAGTGGATGTATCAATTCGGAATACATATTCCTAAAATGGTGCACACAAAAAAGTAGTCAGAATAGAGGCTGAATTCATCTCTAACAAATACAAAACTCATGGGGTTACAAAGCTGGTTGTCAAAATTTTAGAAATGTACAACATAAGAACTGTCAATACCAAACGCCGCAGAGGGAGAAAGCTTTCCTTATTAGAAATCTGAGGCGAGGAGAAGCAAATGTGTTTACACTATTGAAGAAAAACAGCTCAAAAGAAATAGAGTTGAAAATTAAGATACAGATATCTTGTACAACTTACCTTAAAGAGACGCCTAATTACACCATCTAAGACATCCCACTTGGTTTTTCCACTAACACCAATGGATCCTATCAGATATGCCTGGGACTTCTGATCCTGAATAATAACAAAATAACAAAAGATAAAATCCAGCTGTGCATTTCATTTAATTTGCACATTTTATATTAAAAGCTATTAATAATTTTGGTGGTTGAGACCAAATGTTTACTAAGCCTATGAGTTCTAAAGCAACAAAAACACATTGTGAGTTGCAGAAAATAAAACACATTCCAACAAATTAACCAACCACAACAAAAGATAAGGTTAATAGTGATAGCAACAATAAGAGGAAAGATGATATGAAGCTGTGTGTCAAGGAAAACGGAATCATGATTAGTTCCACAGAAAAGAAAGAGAAGGGACATTAATGCAGTGGGGGGGGGGCATGAGGGAGGAGAAGCTGTGTGGTTGGAGGGAACTAATGAGAGAGAGAATAGAATTGGATCACAGGTTCCCAGAACTTCATCTTACCATCTCATGTTCTTAACGTTGATAACTCAGTTTTTTTTAACGAATTAATTTTAATTTAAAATCCAATTTAGTTTTGAAAAGCAAGTTATCCATGAGAATATGGCATTCACATATTTACAAAGCAGGTCCCATTTGGAATTAACCAGAAAATTCACTATTTAAAAGAAATTGCCAGAGAAACCTACAGGACCCATTTTATCAAGAAAATAATTATTTTACAACACAAATAACAGTCTCAAATTTATCTTACTTTGCAGGATGAGATTTTGAGCAATTTCTGTATATATCAGAAAAGTAAACAATCCAAGATTGGAAGTCTAATGGGAGACCTTTTTATGATGACTGAAAATGGTTACATGAAATATTGATTATGATACCTGTGGATATGTAGTTGATCTACTACAATCCTGGCTCTAGTTACTAAGTAGGGGACCCTTCAGGGGAAGTAGAACGACCATGTAGTCAACTGTTGGAAGATGTGAATTCTACACACCACCTACCAGTTAATTAAGAAATGCAATCTTAGCAAATCACTCATATGGCTTATAGTGTCAATTTCTTTACCTGTAATATTTAACCTCTTTAGGGTTATCACTATTATTGAGGTATAATCTGAGTTTGAAGCCAATAGCTTGTCCAGAATAAGTTAGAGAAATTAACAGCTGGTGATTATGATGATTTATTTTTACTAATGAATATCATGCCCATTCAGCCCTCTGAACCTGCAGGAATTCATATGTTGAAGCCCTAACCCCTAACACGACAGCATTTGAAGATGGGGCCTTGGGAAGTAGCATCAGATTAGATCTTGAGGGTGGGGACTTTGTGATGGGATTAAGTGGCCAAAGCATGGCCTCTCTCTCTCTTCCCACCCATAGACACTGAGGTGAGATTGAGTGAGGAGGCACAAGTAATCTACCCACTCAAGAATGCAACCCTTAGCTGGATGGGAGGCTTACATCTGCAATCCTAGCCCTCTGGGAGGCCAAGGTAGGAGGATCACTTGAGCTCAGGAGCTCAAGGCCCAGCCTGAGTGAGAGTGAGAACCCATCTCTACTAAAAATAGAAAAATTAGCCTCGTGTTGTGATAAGCACCTTTGGTCCTAGCTACTCAGAAGGCTGAGGCAGCAGGATTACATGAACTGGGCTTTTGAAGTTTCTGTGAGCTAAGGCTGATGATGGTAAGGCACCTAGCCCGGGTAACAGAGTGAGACTCTGTCTCAAAAACAAACAAACACATAAAAAGAAAACAAAGAAAACAAGATATGGCCCTCACCAGAGACCAAACTGCCTAGCACCTTGATCTTGGACTTGTAAGCCTGCAGAATTGTGAGGAAATAAATCCCTGTTGCTTAAGCCACACAATCTGTGTTATTTTGTTATGGCAGCCCAAGCAGACTGAGACAGCTACTTCACTGGAAGTTTTTTTTTTTTTTTGGAAAAAAATAACAAGAATCTTTTAGAATCATTCTGAAAAGGAAAACTTGTATTCTAGTGTGTTTCTAATGCAGTCAAAATGGACACTTAACACAAAGCTTTATAAGCAGCTGCTTTTAAATTAGAGTCATTTTGGGTTTTACTGAGACGATTACAGCCTCACACATAAAGAGTCACTTGGGAAAAGTAGGCACAAATCTGCAGCTCAAGGAGAAAGTTCATAGAGTTGGAATCCTTTGGAACATTGACTAACTGTAAAGATTCACAAGTCCATCTCACTTTCAAACTGAAGTACTGCAATCATTTTCAAATCTTAAGGAAATTTTGTGCATGTTCATAAGAAGAAAGTAGCTACAAATTCCTATGCTTGGCCACTGAAGTAAAAATTCAACTTACTTTTTATTATTTGTTATAAGAATGGATTAGAGCCAGAATGACATTGCAAATTTGAAGGCAATATATGATTGCAAAAAATTGAAAAACTTGCCTGATCACCTAGAACCTTGCTTAAAAATGATAGACAAGTAGCGTCAATGGATTTTTTCTGGAGTTTAGGAGTACATGTATTTTTCTGTTATCTAGAATATTTATTTAGCTTATAATCTCTTTGTACAAAGACCACATTCATATCTTAGTGGCCAGTTACTACACATCGTAAACATAGTCCATTATCTACAAATGACTGTCTAAATAAACATTAGGCAAGATGTTTATATCAAATAATGTAATTTTTTTTAAAGTTTAGAAATGAGAGAGGGCTGACAATACTTTTTCCAGGGATTGAATGTAGGGACATGGAAGACATAGTTCTACCCATGTGATGATGTCACTTTTTATTATCTATAACTTCAGGCTCTTGTAACATGGAAATCTAATGCCAGGGCAAAGGCATCTGATGGGATAGTGAATAGAACAAATGTTTAGATGTAAAATACATATGACTCCATAATTATCACCATGTAGTTATAAAGAAGTTAGAACTATATAGAAGTTAAAGAAATACCTTTGCTCGACCATAGCCCTTGCTTATGGAGACGATAATCTTCACGCTGCGGCCATCTTTATGTCCAGTCGCATCCCCAGCATCATCCAGCAAAATATCTACCAAAGTTTGAAAGACAGACACACACAGTAGAGGGACGTTAGCTCAGATCTGTCTCCTGTCATGGTTTTCTCCTTCATGGTTTTATATCTTCCAGTGGGATCTGCTTCCCATTCTTGCCTAACTAGTTTGAAAACCTTGGCTTTCAAGAAGATGAATTACTGTCGTTTAGCCAAAATTTCAATCTATTCTTCCTTCTAAAGATCTTCACCCAAGTGTTGGGCCATTGCCTTTAGATAAGAAAATAAAGGGTTTCTTTTTCTATTATACATAGGTCTGAGTAATACCTGAGTAATAGTTAGTCACCATCATAACCATGACAAACTGAAAAGCAGTCAGATTTTTCTATCCAATCTAAAATAACCAAGCTCAACACCCATGTAATTTATAAATGTAAAGGTGCTGAGATTGACTGTCAACTAAAATTATTTTCAAGTGCTTGACACATAGACAGCTATTTTACTGCTTGCCTTATATCTATAATTATTGAATTTCAACCGTGGCATTATGCTTCCTGTAGAAGTATATTAATTATCACTCTTCTGTACCCTTTATGCTAATACTTTCAAAACCAAAATAGTATTTCTAGTAATCAACTAAGAGTTACTGTAGTATGATAAAAAATCTAACCTTTAAAATACCAACCCATAAATGTGATTGAGAATTAATTTTCAAAATATAGTATACCAGATTAATGACTAATTTGGAGAATTATTAAGGAGAACTATCCCCCAAATACATTTTCTTTCAACAATAATGTCAGTATAGAGTCATGTGTACTGTGAAGATAGGGTTCTGTAGAGAAAGAAATCTCAGTTATACAACAAAGAGCACATATGCCTGGTAATTAGAAGACTCTGACTATAAATTTGTAGAGACAAGAGCCAGAACTGTAATATCATTAGAATCCACAATCTAAAAAGATGGAAAATGGAACGGTTTCCATTATCTTTATCATTCAGAATATGTAAGTTTGAAAAGTAAACAGTAAAAGAATTCCTCAAGACCATAACAAATAAAAAAGACAATTTTTAGAGCTTGATGAATATGGAACTTTTTACTAGAAGTTTTTGAGCTATAAAGATAATCTCTTGTATTGAAATTTAGTTATTTTCCCACATTAAAATTCTCGTGGTCTTTCACTTTCTCACTTACCCTATTGAAAAATAAAAGATGTGATTTATTATTAAAATGACCTAAATGTCACTTTAATTCTCTTGCTCCTTTTCTCAACAGTTGAGAGTAGTTTACCATCGGTTGTTTAGATATAAACTTTTTGTAGTTCATAATCAAATTACAGTAGAACCTCCATAGTTGACCACTTCCCTACATTGACCTCATCCTTAAGTTGACCTAGTTTGCATTGACCGGACATGCACGTGTACGTATCAGTACAGCAGGCCTAGTTCCTTCTGTCAACAACCTCCGTATGTCGACCAGTTTGTTCCAGTCCCTTGGGTGGTCAACTTACGGAGGTTCTACTCTATTTCTTTAGTACTTTGCTTACTTCCTCATAAAAATCTGTAAGTATTCAACAAATGTTCATTAAGCATAAACGATATCAGAAACTGCTGGGCATTAAGCATGGATACCAAGGTGAGAAGGAAAATGAATTACCTACTTTCTTAGAGTATACACTCTCTACAAGGTAATTTCAGCATGTTTCATGGGTTCCTCTGATACAAACAGGGACTATAGAGGAGCTGAAGGGAGTCTGCTCTAGAGAGACTGGTCATCCCAGAAGGCTACCTGGAGGAGGTGGTGTTTGGAGATAAGATCAGAAGGCCAAGAAGTGCCAAGCAAGTGAAAAGGATGGAAAGGGGTTTAATGAAGAAGAACAAGTACAAAGGCCATAATATAGGAGCTGAGTACATTCAAGATGGTAGATGCCCCAGGAGGAGGAGTGTAGAATGAGGAGTGGTAGGAAATGATGTGGAAGTGTGTGAGGGCCAAACCCTGCATGGCCTCATAACGGACAGACAAGGGTAGAGTGAGGAATGGTAGGAAATGATGTGGAAGTGTGTGAGGCCAAACCATGCACGGCCTCGTAGCAGACAGACAAGGGGAGAGTGAGGAGTGGTAGGAAGTGATG